CCGATAAATCCATCGGCTCTCAATTTATTTCTGAAATATTAATTCAATTTAATTGAATGTATATTAGATAGTAGTTCAACATCTTAACACTCGACCGAAAAGGCGCTTTGTATTTAAAGTCTTAATATTCATATAGACGGTCTAGTTTCCAATCATATTATTTCAGAAAACTTTCAGATCTTGGTATTTTCGCAAAAACATTCCTAGAGAGACGATTGTTACGCTTAACCGACTGCGCGTTCCAACCACTATAATATCAATCATAGTCTTTTTCGCAAAAAACATAGTAAACGATCTAGTCCCTCTTGTGAATGTGAATTTCCTCAGCAAGATATCCTACATCTTATATTTAATTATCCGAACACTAACTCCAAAGCCCTTTATCTTCGACGGGCTACCGACCGCGTCTTGGAGGGGAACTGTTATTCCAAATTCTTGCAAGCATTTGCCCTTCCGAAAACATTTGTAGATTAATTTTAAATTTTAGCAAAGTCTGCAACAGACTTTTAAATTCAAACTTTTGTCGCCTTCTCATGACGATCGCGCAGACACATTGTCCTGCCTTTGCTCCCATCCAGCAGAGTATATTGCTCCCATAGAGCTTATACTATTAGAGGGGTAATACGGACGTCTTGCTGTGAGCAAGACTGAGAGACAGAAGATATATTTCTATCCTCTTCCTCTTCTATCCTCTTTTGGTATACGAATATGCGCAGAAATAAAAAAATTACTGAGCAGTGCAGAAATATATTTTTCTATCCTCTTTTATCGAAAAAAGAAAAGTTACTGAACAGAACAGAAATATACATCTTGAGTGCATTCGTTTATGCAGTGGATAACGCATTCTCTGCTTTCTTATCTGCTAATCACACGACTTAAATTTACCGAATGGATCGCTGCTTAAATAGCTGGTCGTACCGTATTGTATCGTATCTTCAATAGAAATTCTGGAAAAACGATTGAAAATTAAGGCCTAGAGGCACTATTTTTGAACAAATATCGCATATAGAAATAGCAATTCCGTATGCAATCGGTCAATCATAATCGAGAAACTGTCATTTTCATATACAAAAATTATATATACATATATATGCTCAAAAATAGGGCACCAGTTTCACAACTCATGATTAATACTTAACTGAAGTTCAACTTATTCCTCTCTTCCTAATGCTAGAATTGGAAAAAGATGAAAAATAAATTAACTCTAAGAATTAAGATTCCTGACTAGTCGCGGCGGTCATGTTGGAATCGTGACGTCAGAAGCGAGGAATGACATGTTAATTTATATTGCGTGCCATTTTTTAATAAAGACAATTTGGATGAAACAAAATAACGAGATCACTTGTAAAAATCGATGAAAACTGTCCTTTCTTCCCTTGACAGTCAGTAAATGGTCGTTAGTAAATAGTCAGTAAAAGACACGTAAAGTAAGACTATATTCGGACAGAAACGATTTGACAGCTGTTGAAACGAGTAAAATATACACTTTTACGTATAAAATTCCAAGATAATTTTAGTTTTCATCGATAATTACGACTTTGATAAGTACGAGACAAGTCACATTTTTACAATTAAGCAAATAATAACGAAATAGCACGCAACATAAATTTCATCGCCAAAATGTCACTTTTCCACACCTAACATATAAGTTCGGCCATTTATCGTGTTGCGGCACTGTAATACACAAACAAGCACGAGCTCATGTCCGTGCTCGCTTGCGGCGCGCCGAGAGTGAACGAGACAGCGAGCTCCTTCTCACACTAATCGCTTATTTCAAGCGACTGAAAATGCTTTCTCGGCAATCTCGGCCGCTTGGCGTCAATAAGGGATAGAGGGCATCCTAAATAACATATAAATTTTAATAAGTTGTAGTAATAGTGTACCTCTCCCCTTAATCCAGAATAGTATAAATCATGTTAAAACGCAACAGTTTATGAGATATTTAATTTATAACGTCCAAGCTCAGGAAAATAGATTTAAAGAGAGAAGGGAGTAAAAAGGATGGAGTATGAAGGACGGCCAGACTTTTGTCTCGCAGGTATCCGCACAGAAGCAAATACTGCGAGTCGAATGCACCCTTTTTATTGCTCGCTTCGGAATATGGGTCAACGTCTCGTAAAGACGCTATGACACCTGTTTCCTACGAGCGGTGTGATCGTCGGTCCGAATTTCGAGTCAGGGAAATCCCTTTAACTCGGGAATGGACCACGTGCGAGCTCTGAAAGGGCAAGGTTTAATGATTACGAGGTTTTATTAGGGGGTTTCAAAAGTGAATGACGAGAAGAATAATTACTAACATTATTTATTGTTGCTAATCAAAAGATAAGAATAACAGACGGTTATATAACAATAGGCGTATTTATTATAACTAATCTATACATTTTCATCTATTACATAAATACCGCAACAGTCTATTCAATAACGGGCATATGCTTTATGTACATCGAGTAGTCGGGAGACTCGGATGGGATTTGATTAATCTATTTCGTGGATGGAAACGGAGGAAGGAGGGAAAAGATTGTAAAAGAATTCCACTGGAACTAGGAATGGATTGGCAGAATTCGAGAGAAATACAGGAATACAGGAGGTTGAGTTTTGGCCCGTGATGGCATTTCGGATTTCCTCAGGATCGAAGTAATAAGGACCGATTGTCCCCCTGAGGGATAGATGCGGTAGTAGTCCGCAGGAATTGACTGATGAGTGACTCGAGAGTGATTCGGAAATAAGATGTAGGTGGCAGCGGAGGAATTTCCTCTAAGAACTCCACGCTGTCCATGGAGTTCGTCGGGGACGGAATTTCTCTAGGGGAAATTGGGATAGGATCGACCGACGAATCGGGTGATAGTGGGGGAGTATCTGGAAAGATTCTCTCCGTCAGTGCGTCCGAAAACGCGGTTGACGGAGATCGAGGGGGAGGCGAAGGAGTTTGCGGGGGAGGTGAAGGTGTTTGAGGGGGAGGTGAAGGTGGTTGAGGGGAAGGTGAAGATGGTTGAGGGGAAGGTGAAGGTGGTTGAAGGGAAGATATAACCTCTAACTGATTAGGCATAGCCGGCGGAGTCGGTAAAGACGAGGGTGGTGATGGTGGCAAATGGTCCTCGACCGGGCGACTCTGTTCTCGCGAACCCCCGAGGTGCCAACTGAGACCGGCAGAGTAACGGTTGAAAAAATGACTGACGACTGAGCGTTCCTCGTGGAGAGCCTCTTTTTATATTGGCGAGTTAGTGGTGCCGAGTGCAGAGCTCACGTGTGCTGTTGCACGTGCAATGCTGATAACATAATAAGCACAAGCAATAGACATAAACAACAGTGAATAACGAGTCGTCCAATCAAAGCTCTAGTGTGTAAGTTGAATATTATATCCCAGAGCATCTGATTGGGCAGTTCGTTATTCCCTGTTTTCTAAATCTATTGCCTGTGCTTATTGTGTTTAAGCCTTTATTCATAGATCTACAAATAACCAATCGCTCGCTGAGTAGACTGCATTTTGAAGCCTATCGAAAAAAAAGTGTTACAATCTTTCTGTGACCGGCTGTGCTGAGTTCCCACTCGAGTTCCACTCGAGTTCACTCGAGTGTCATCCAGTTATCACTCCATTCTTGTTATCGTACATTAGACAAGAATGACACTTGGAGAGCACCTAAATGGGAATCTGAACACGCCTCTGTATGTGCGTACTCGATTAGTATTGCCATTATGTGAGCACGCCAATCACAAGAGAGGGTGGAAGGATGGCCAGACCAGAGAGAAACCTAAGAGAGAACATGACGGCCCAAAATCTATAACCACAAAATGCTACCGCGCACTACTGCCCTCTGACAAAGTGGATGTAAACTGCATAGCAATGTCCACTTTTCTTAGGGTACATCTATTTTTCAAGGCTGGATGATAAATTAATATTTGATTCATATAATCATGCAATATAGAAAAATGGACGTTGCTATGTAGGTTTTTTTTATACAATATAAAATGTCTCCCGCCTTCGCTACTGCCACCAGTCGAAAACATAGCAACTTTATTAACTTTGCTACTTACTTTGCTCAATGATGTCTTAAAAACGAATATCGAAAACCATATTCAGATAAATTTCATATTATTCTTTGTGATATCAAGTTTTATGTCTCATTGTTTCAAAATAACGCATAACACATGAGGCAAAAATCTTTATTTTATGGAAAGTAAGGAAACGGAGGACTTCGATTGATACATTTTCTTATGCATTA